TAAGGGACAAGAGTCCTAAGACGAAGAGGGACTTAACCAAGATAAGGATAAAGCTCTTAGGGAGTTTATCTTTATCTCTTAAGGAGTCCAAAGTAAGCACTGAATTGGAATTCATAGAAGTCCTACTTCTAGTAGGACATGGATTGAATATATTATAAAAGAGAGGCACCCCCGTGGGTCGAAGGTAGGCAATTTATGTTTTGAGTATTAAGTTTAGCACTTGATTATCTTTGAGAGATATACTGACTTGATCGTCGGAGTGCCCCCGGGTGGAAGAACCACCGCCGGAGCCTTTTCTTTTTGTTTCAGGTTGCTGATGCCATCTATTCTGCCTGTACTCTCCAGTTGATCACTAAGCAGGCAGTGTGGTCAGATTTTCACCCACACAAATTGCCTACATTTACAAAAGAGAGACATTCCACTACACTAATAAAATAGATGATATAGATGAGATGATCAAAATACTCAAAATACTCAAAACTCACATCACTACATGAACCCTATCGTCAAAGATAGTTGAGCCTTTACTCATTCTGAGGCTTTATGCTATTTTTTTCTCTTACCCTTTATATGTCCATTTTCTCTCATTGTTCTCTAACCAAAACCTATAGCTCATATGGTTACACATCGTTAGTTACAACTTTTGTGCCTTTGGTTATCATATACTGTGTTGTTAGCTATAATTCATTGAGATATTAATTATGACATTATTTTTGTTATGATCTAAGAGTTCTTTCTTATACCTTTTGATGTTTGGCTATAACTCCATTTATTTTTATTTTTTTTAATTATGACTCTCATAATATTGAGTTATGCCATTTGTGATAATCAATATCACAAATGGTATAACTTGCATATAGGTGTGTACCATAGAATTACCCTATTTATAATGAGAAATTTGGTTATAAACCCCCTTTACCTTTCTTTCATTGTTAAAAGGACTAAGAAAAAAATTATACTTTTTAAACCCCCTCATAATTATAAAGTCTTGTATAAATGACAAAATTTATTATTTAAATATTTTATCAGATTATTATACCCTCAACTAAATCTTCCCACATTCTCCACCCACTCTCTCTCCACTTTCTCTGTCTCTCTCCTTCCCCTCTAAACACAGCTTCTCTTCATAGCCATATCAAAGGCCACCCGTTGATCTCTCCCCCCTGTCCCCGCTGGCCGTCGGTCTCACTTCATCCATCCTCGCAATCTCTGGCGACGAGATCTAACCACTACCAAACAAGATCTGGTCACGTAGTGAATAGATCTAGTCCCGCCGCTGCTCTACTCTTCCTCTGTCGTTGATGGCGCTGAATAATCGTTGCACAAGATAAATACATACATACACATAGACATACATTTTGTATGTAGGGATATATGTATATGTGGAGATATATATATATATATATATATATGTGTGTGTGTGTGTGTGTGTGTGTGTGTGTGTGTGCGTGTGCATGTATGTATGTATATATGACTCATACATACATGTAAATATGTATGTATCGATAAGTGAGTGTATGTGTGTATGTATATCTTTGAGTGAGTGTATGTATGTATATCTGTGAGTGTGTGAGCGTATATATGTATATTTGTGAGTGAGTGAGTGTATGTATGTATGTATATCTGTGAGTGTGTGAGTGTATGTATGTATATCTGTGATTGTATGTATGTATGAGACAGATTTGGAATAGTAAAATTTTATTCTGATTAAAAACATGTTGATTATCTCAGCAACCAAACTATATTTGGTTTTCTTGTTATGTTTCTGTGATTTTCTCAGCAACTAAACATGCAAGGTTATTAATACATGACACTTTAGTGTGATTCAAAATGGTTTCAGAGTAAAATTTTACTCTAAATCAGAGTAAAATTACTATGATTCAAAGTAAATTTTTACTCTGAAATTTTACTTTAGTTAAAAACATGTTGATTTGCTTAACGATATAAAATTTTACTTTGAATCATAGTAAAATTTACTCCGATGCAGAGTAAAATTGTCATTTCAGAGTAAAATTTTACTTTAATTCAAAGTAAAATTATACTTTCAGAGTAAAGTTTTATTCTGAATTAGAGTAAAGTTACTATGATTCAAAGTGTGTAAAAACATGTTGATTTTCTTAACAATATAAAATTTTATTTTGAATCATAGTAAACTTTACTCTGAAATATACTGTGAAAATGGCTTAATAGGAGAGCTGATAGATATGAGGGTAATATAGTAAAAGAAACAAGTTTTAAAATATTAGGGGGTTTTGAAAGTACCTATATAATTCTTTTCCTTTTGAAAGATAAATTAGACAGTGAGGGGTCTATCACTAAATCCCCCATTTATAATGGCTTACTCATAAGAAATATAATTCTCATACAATTAAGTAATCCACACTATACTATCCTAACTCAAAAACATGTATAAACCAACATAATAACTAATAATTATATAGGACTCACATAAATAACATGGGTGAACTAATCCCAACATTATTTCTTATTTCGTTTCCCTTCCTTTTTCCATTCCCTACGTTTTTTTTTTTTTGTTGATAAATTTACTCAAAAGTTTTGTCTTAGAAAAGTATGTACCAAAAAGTTTCATGAATTTTCTTGTAAACAATTTAGTCTCATTGAATTTGAAAAAAATACATCGTGAGGTCCTTTTAATATATTTCTTGAAGATTTCAAACGTGGGTATGTTTCATTTGCACATTATTATCTTATTAAACTTTTGTCAAATGTGTCATTCTTAAAATATGACAATATAACATCATTTTAATGTGTATACTATTGTCTTATTAACTTTTTGTCAAATGTTTCATTTTTAAAATGTAAAAATGGAATATCATTCTAATGTGTACACTATTGTCTTATTACTTTTTCAAATGTGGGTATTGCTTGATTTGAGAAATTTTAATATGAAATAAAACTTACGAAATTATAAGAATATTTATGGGACTAAAAGGTCCATAAATAATGGATATATGATTTATTAATAAATGCCCCTTTATTTTATTTTATTTTATTTTTTTTGTAAAATTTGATATCCAAACACAGTCTTAATGTAACAAAGTTTTTCTTCAACTAAATTTTTTTTAGTAGGTAATCAATAATTCATTAATAGTGAAGCAACGAATATAAAGTTAAGAAGGGATATCGGTAGTTATATTATATGTTTGAATTAAATTTGTATTATAAAAAATGAATGACTATTATTGAAATAATATTTATTATTTCTTTTTTTAATAAATATGATTCAAACATATAGTTATCGATGTTCAATATCATCGTAATTTTTTGCATTAATATTCTATTCAATGATTCATGAAAAGTAAAAATTCATATTACTAAAATCGGTCTCAAAATGGAAACAATAGCGGGCAATATGGGCCCATTTCGGGACCCGTTTTGATGATCCAAACCGTTCACATTTTAAAATATACATCGAGTAGAACACACTTATAAAAAATCAAGTTGATTGGACATTGTTAACCATTTTATCAAAATTCATTTGTATCTACAAAAAAAAATGACAATTGTTGTTTGAAGTATAAAACATAGTATAAATGTGAGTGAAAAAAAGGGTTAATGATATCCGATCAACTTAATTTTTTATAGATATATTCTACTCAATGTATTCTAAAATGTGAATAATTTAGATTATTGAAATGGATCTCGAAATGGGCTCATATTGCCGCACAACAACCACCCCATTTCTCTAAAATATAAGTTTACCAAATCTAAACACCCTCTCAAATTGACATGATAACTTAAGAGAAACTATCATTACCTTGAGCAATATTTTTCCCAAGAAAAAAAGCTATGTTCGTTAACAATTTATGTTGATCAGTAGGGGCCCCAAAACTCTAATCTTAAAACAAAAGACACACGGTTCATTTTTGGTTCAGTAGGGACCCCCAAACTCTAATCTTCGGGTTGATGGTTTAATACAAATAGTACTGCGAGAAACCAGAGAGAAGCTCACAATTTATTTTATTTTATTTTTTTGTTCTTGTTTTCGAAAGCAAACAGGCCAATAAGCGTGTTGCGAATTACACACTGGTTTGTTTACCCCGGTTATTTACACCAGTTGATGTGGATTCATCCTACTTGATTCCAAGGAAATAACCCGAAAATATCTAAGAATGTATTATTGTTTGACCATAGGACAAAAATAGATATGGATAAGATATGTAGCCCACAATTCTATTTGCAGATAAGGTAGAATATAACTCTGCTTTTCAAGGATCAAAAAAAAAAAAATATCTTGTTACTGTAACAAGTTTATCTTCATTTTGTTTATGGTAGGTATCAATAATTCATTAATGGTGAAGCACTGAATATATGGCTAAGAAGGGGCATACCTATTGTACAAAGCAATAGTTTCAACTAAAAGAAGAGCCATTGATTTGTCTTGTCTCTAGCTATTTGATATTGCTTCAGGATTTGCTAGAGATGTTCCAGACCATGCTCATTTGCCAATTACCTTGGCTGTTCTGGACTTGCCATCAACATCTAATCTTTGTTCTCATATCTTCTTCAATCATCTAAAATATTTTTGCAACATCTCCCCTTACTTAAGTGAATAGTAGAATGGTGACTGAGTGGCAAATACACAAGGCTCCTGCTAAAAACACAACATATGCGCAATGGACAAGCCTTACTGTTGGGCCGAGCCGCCCTTATTGGAGTAAATATACCCTATTATTTATTTCCTCCAAATGTGATACAGGGATAACTTTATATACAAAATTTTGAAGCTCTTTAGTTGGTCAGAATCCTTGCACCTCACTAGGAGGTCAAGGGCTTGATTCCCCCTCGCAAACTACGACTGCTGATTTAGAAAAAATAAATAGAAAGAATATTGAATCTGATTTTCTTCAAAGAGCCCACAAATGCCAAAGCATTGTGGTTTTCTACAAAAAATGATCCGATTAAACCTTCTGTATCCTTGAGTACCTTCACATATAGGATGAATAAAAAGCAACAATTTGAAACAGTACCTTCGGGTATGTCTAAGAAAAAAACAATGCAAGTTTTATTATTTGCATGTACATTAAACTATTACTTATAATACAGTAATTGAACATACATAATGATAAAACTAACAATTTCTATGACTTCAAATATTAAATACCTAACTATTCATATTTACAAGTATTTTGTATTTCTCCATTTGAGGTAGCTGAAAAATGGTTTCTCTGGAACAGGTATCCACTTCACAATCCAACCAATCGGCCAAGACACTGCAGCAAATCCAATACATACTACCCACTGCCACCAATTCAACCTCTCTGTACTTGCAAATTTCTTCAGGAATTCCACCATCACCACTTGAAGAACAATGGTAATCCCAATGATCGACAAAAACAACTTGCTCCTATGTATTTCCTTGAAGACATTCTTCTTCTCGAGCTTCCTTGCATTGAATTCGTTGAAAACTTGGCAAAGCACGAAAGTATTGAAGATTAGCGTGTTGTTGACATTTGTATTCACCCCAAAGATTGATTTGCCTCCGAATTGTAAGGTCAGTAGCACGGCTATCTGGTAGAATGCTTGAGCTAGCAGGTTCCTCCACATAATGTTGGTGATGAGCGGTTTAGTTCGACCCACGGGTCGTTTCTGCATGAGTTCTTTGGAGGGCTTTTCTGTGGCCAGAGCCAAAGCACCTAAGGTGTCCATGATCAAGTTCACCCACAATAACTGGACAGCTGTAAGTGGGACTTCACCAGCTGAAACTGCTGCGACAAAGTTGATGAAAAGGGCAGCAACATTCACAGTGAGCTGGAATTGGATGAATTTTTGAATGTTATTGTAAACGCATCTTCCCCACTTTAAGACCGTGACTACAGAACCAAAGTTATCATCTAAAATGACAATGTCTGAACTCTCTTTCGCCACTTCTGTTCCTTGAATCCCCATAGATAGACCTATATCTGCTTCCTTCAATGCTGGTGCATCATTCGTGCCATCACCAGTAACTGCCACAACATGGCCTTTCTGCTTCAAGCATTGCACCATGAGAAGCTTATCGAATGGGGAAGATCTTGCCATCACACAGATTTTATCAACTTTCTCCAATCGCTGCTCTGGAGTGTAATTGCGAAATTCCTCACCTTCTACCACTGCTCCACTAATATCCTGATTAGGCCTAAGTATCCCGCATTCAGTGGCTATAGCTCTAGCAGTGAAAACATTGTCGCCAGTGATCATTTTTATGTTCACTCCAGCATACTGACAAGCTTCCACAGCTTTCTGCACACCAGGCCGACATGGATCCTTTATACCTACCAATCCCAAAAGGGTCAAGTTGCTGTCTTTCAAATTTTTGTTCACTTTTTCGCCTTCATTCTCTTCTTCTTGAACTTGTTTATGAGCAAAAGCAATGCATCGAAGGCTGCTCGCGGCCATACCTTGGATCATTTGATCAAATTTCTTCCTTTCAACATCATCCAAGACCTTGATTTCTCCAGAGACAGCATAGTAATGGGAGCACATTGCGAGCACCATCTCTGCAGCCCCTTTCCAATGCACGTTGATCGTATTGTCATCCTTCTTCCTCATTGAAACGCCGCTTCTTTTCTTTGTTGAATTGAAGGCTTCAACATGGAGGATTGAACAGCTCTGCTTCAGTTTCTCCATATCCATGTTTAGTTCCATGACAGCCCAAAAAAGAATTGCTTTTTCAGTGGGGCTGCCAGAGAACTCAAATTCGGGTCCTGAAGTGGACTTGTAAACAGTGCCTGTTGTATTCAAACCGACACCTTGGTGGAGCAATTCAAGAACATTGTCTGAAATTGAAGATGAATTTCTTTCCTCCATCGATTCTTGGCCGAGCCAGAACTTTGTTACCTTCATTTGGTTGAGTGTGAGGGTGCCCGTTTTGTCAGTACAAATGACGGTGGCAGAACCCATTGTTTCACATGCAGAGAGCTTTCTCACCATTGCCTGATCAGCCATCATTCTCTTCATCGAATAAGCCAAAGTAAGTGTGACAGCCAATGGCAAGCCTTCAGGAATTGCAACAACAACAATAGTTACTGCAGCAGCTACAATCCCCACAACAGAATTGATAATGTCATCAACTTTTGTCTTGCTTCCATTGAACTCTGTATTTCCATTTGCATCTTTTGTATTGCCTGTGAAATACCGAACCAACAACACCACTAGAACTAGGAAAGCAACAACCAAACCAACCTTGCCTATGGCCGAGGTTAGTTTGTTGAGCCGGGCTTGTAAAGGAGTTTGCTCGTTGGTGTCGCGGCTGATTGTGCTCATCATCTCACCCCATGTCGTGCTCATGCCAACCGATGTCACAAGCATTCGGCCAAACCCATCAGCCACCTTGGTACCCGAAAACAAGAATGGATTTTTAGTAAGATTCACTTCGACGTGCTCGCTTTCGCCTGTCATGCTCGATTCATCAACTTGTAGCGAGTAGCCATCTATGAATAGGCCGTCAGCTGGAACCTGATCTCCAATCTTTAAGCAAACAACATCTCCAACAACAATTTCAAAAATGGAAACTTGTTGCCTCCTTCCATTTCTCACAACATCAATTGCGATATTGTTGCTACCTGCTGAGACTGCTATGACAAGAAAGACAGCGAAAAATATGCTGCCTCCATCATACCACCCTTCTTTTAGCCCATTTTCTTTGATGCCGAAGCCTAGTGAAAGAGCTGCACATACTAAAAGGATTATAATAGTAGGATCTTTGAAAGCCTCCCACACGAAACGATAAAAACGTTTTGTGGGAGCTCTTTGATATGTGTTAGTGCCAAAAGCTTCGTGTCTCCGCGAAATATCTTCTTCGTTGTCTCCATTTATTCCAAGCTCCAAATTGGTTTTGAGAGCAGAAGCTAGACCATGAACTCCATGATGTTTTTCAACAAGCTGGTTTAGATTTTTCTTCTTGACAAGTTGGGTGAGGCTTGACTTATCAATGTTGGTGAAACAGGGGTGTGGTGGTTCGGAAACATCGATTACAACGACTCGGTTAGATGGAACAGGGGAGACCTTTCTCTTGTTCTTGGCTTTCAAGCAAGAAGAGAAGGCCCTTGAACAGTAGATTGTAGCAAATGCCAAGTGCCATCTATGTTTGTTGGTGTTATCAAGGCAGGTGGGTAGTTTGAGGAATGTAAACATGCTTTGAAAGCAAAAAAAATAAAATAAAAATAGATATTTATTTCAAAAAGCAGAATGATATATGGTACGGTGTACGGAGGCAAGTCTAATAGTTACAACCTTATTATGACAATAAGAGATGAAATAAAAGAATAATATCGTGCAGAAACTAATGTAGCATGAAAATATTAGCTCACTTATGATACCGAAGAAGATCAAAGGTTGGCTCGGTGAAAGACACGTTCTCAAGCGGGTTCAAGTCTTGTGATAACAAGCTCAGGATACATGAAGATTGCTGGTAATGGTGATGGCGTGTTTGCAACAATTTATAGAGGCCAAATTTTGTCTACGCGTACCGTGCCGTAATTTCGTTATCTGTTCACTTTGAAAAATCAAATATTTAATTTGAAGAAGCAACAAACACAACTTCCTGGTGGAAATTTCGGCCTTACCCATGCGTCCTAGCCTTGCTCCGGGCCACGCTTCGGCCCGGGCCACGGGCATATAATGTTTTTTAAATACTAAATAATTTTTATTTTTATGGACTTTTTTTATTAGAAATAATTTGACAACTCTATGTCCAATTATTTTTATAAATAGAGATTTGTTAACGTGAATTATATTTTATGAGGATCTTGCAAACTATCACTCTCAGAACGAGTATTGATAAAAATGCAAATAATGACCCAAAAAAAAATAAATTAGGATTTCAACACATTTCTTATAAAGAAAATATTATTCTTGCCTGCCAAATTATCACTCAAAAATCAATTTAACCTATATTCTTTTAATAATATCAATTTTGCACATAAAATATTTGATTTGGATCAATTTTACTCCTATTGTTAGCTATTGTTTATAATCAAATAGAAGTTGCTAATATGGTAACGAAATTTTGTTTGAAATTTTATTTTGCTACTCAAACTATCTTTAAAATATTAATTAGACCCCTTAATTTCATTTTGTTCGGTGTCTAATTGATATTTTAGGATAGTTTGGAAGCTAAAATAAAAATTTTAATGAAGATTGAGTGTCACATTGGCAACTACTGTATGATTATAGGTGACAATTGATGGTAGGGATAAAATTGAACAAAATCAAATAATTTAGATATAAAATTAATATTATTAAAAGAATAGGAAGTGAATTGATCTTTAAATGATAGTTTGAGAGGCAAAATAATATTTTTCTTTCTTATATAAGTAATGTAATTATCATAGTATTATTTTATTTTTATACATTTTTTACATACATATCAAGGTTACATGTAGCGACTCTGGTTTCGATCCTTCATTCATGTTTTGCCACTTCGACTGGGCCAGTCGGGGTTCGAGCTGCCCGGTCAGCTCGCGGGGGTCGAGGGGCCAGCACCCCTTGGCGGGTCCGAGGTCAACGCCCTGGCGGGGTCGAGGGGCAGCGCCCCCAAAGCAAAAATACAAAATGCATTCGAAGTTGTTTGTCCGCTTGAGCGGCCGTTTATGCGCTCAAGCGGAGAATGTTTGGTTTCAGAAGTTTGACCTGTCTACAAAAGTACTGGGAAAGTATATTTGACGCTTGAGCGGGGCTTTCCATACTCGAGCGGACCATGTTATATCAGTTTGTGAATATGATATTTCAGATCACTTTTGTATATATCTCTCTCTCTCTAAAAACTCTTTCCTCTCCCTTCTCTCTAAATTTTCTTATGCCAAATTGGATCAAAATCTTGATTTCTCAAGATCCATTAGAGTTCTGCTACAAGTTTTTCATCAAAGTTGGTTAACTTCTCGAGGACTTCGTTGTGTACGGTGAAGATCGAGTTTCGATACTGTTGATTTTGAGGGTTTCATCTCATTTCTTCTTCAAAACTTGAGGTAGGGATTTTCTTAGAGTTATATATATGTTTTTGCAAGATCTATATGTTTTTCGAAATTATTTTTCGATAGCTTTGCAAATTGATTGTTGATTTAAGAAGTTGAGCGATTTTGAAAGTGGGTTTGTCTCTTGTTCTTTTAAAATGATCTTATGGGTTTTAATCTTCGTTGATTGAAGAAAAGATGATTTTAGAAAGTTTTCTTCCAAAAGATTTGAATTGTATAGTTTTGATGAGAAAACCTAGAATTTGGAGATTTTTTTTAGGAGACTGAAAATTCATGAATGATATTGTTATATTTATTTTGTGTGTCAAAATAAATGGATGTTTGGAAAATTTCTTATTTATATTTATATAAATGATGAATTTTAGGGAATATGAGAATTATTGTTTATTTTGGAAATTATTGTTCAAAACGTTGAAATAGTCTTGAAATGACTAATTGTTGAGGATACTTGAGAAAAGGGAATTGTGTTATTCCTTGGATGATGAATTAGAATGAAAGTATTTATATTCATCTTGTGTTATTGGCATATCAATTCATTTGATTACATTAAACTTTGAAAGTTGATTTGAAAACTTGTATTGAGAAAAGAATGTTGAGAAACAAGTTTTCATGGAATGACTTTCGGGGTAAATACGTTGGTAAGTCTTGATAGGTGGTGTAGATGATATTGAATAAGTTGGCCTGAGAGTCTGGGGTGAAAGACTGAAAACCCGCGTGGATAGGTGTCGAGCCTTCCGGTTAATACCGGTAAAAATGACAAATTGGTAGTACTTATATAGTCTACTTGCAGACACCGACCTAGGGATTACCAGAGTCGTATTTACTGCTCTTGAAATGAATTGTTAAGTTTTGAAGAATTGAAATTGCATGACATCATTGAGTGTGAGGGTTTTCAAAAATGAAGATGTGATTTTCTTTTAAAAGAACATAGCATGGCATGCGCATTTCATCTCTTGAGATTTGTATAAAATGTATATACTTTGTTAAGGATTTCCTATTGGGCTTTATGCTCACCCTACGGGATTTTTGTGCAGGAAAAGATATGGTGATGCCGTCTAACTAAAGGTGAGGAAATGTGTGTTGAGAGTACGAGACTCTCATTTTGTTCTGACTCTGTGTATAAGCCAAGGGTTGTATGTGTGTGGGTTTGAATAACCGTTTTGTGTAACTAGGCTCAAGCCTTGTAAACTTGTAAACCCTTGGGGGTATTTATTTGTTTATTTACTTGTTGTTGGATTAATGTATTGTTGCATGAAGAACTATTGTATCATGTAATGTAAGTTTGGAGATTTATATTCGGTTTTCCTTGAAAGAGCCATGATTGTTGTATTATCATTTGGGCTAGAAATTTGGGGCGTTACATTACCCATATATCTTTTTTTTTTTTTTTTTTTTTCAAACAAAATGGATATACAGATAGGTTACTCCACATATTTGTCAAGGAGTATTGCCCTATAGCACCCATGGTGCATCTACAGGGAACCTCACCGCACTTATGTCGGGGCCGAAACTAAGGCCCTTTGCGTGCTCTAAATGCTAAGAAGTATGTTTAACCCCAACAAGAGACTATGAAGACTCAAACCCTGGTTTTAAACGAGGAATTTGAAGATCTTACCACTGAACCAACCCTGTATTGGTCTACATGTCCTATTCATTTCCCTTTCAAAGCAATTATTATGTCATTTTGATATAATTTCCGTTTATTTTTGTGAATTATTTCTCCATTGAATGATAAATTTTTTTGTATTTGTATGATTGTCGCTCCAGCATCTCTCATCTCCACAATCCACTCTGCTCCACAATCTCCGATTATAGAAACTTTTGCAAGTAAGAATTAGGAAACACCGATGAGGTTGTATAGGGTTAACCATATGGATGCTATCTCATGGTGGGCTTGTTTGTTTCTGTTTTTTTTTTTTTTTTAATCAGCGAAAGTCTAGTAGTGTGTCTAGGGGTTTAATTTTGGCATGGCCCGGCATGGCCTATTTGGGTTGGGTTTGGCCCGCCTTCGGGCCTCGCAGGCTCTTGCCAAAAATCGGACTAGGCCGAATCGACCCACTTCTGCGAAATCTCGGCCCAGGCCGTAGGGAAATTTGAGCATCGACGACCCACTTCTGCGAAATCTCGGCCCAGGCCGTAGGGAAATTTGAGCATCGAGTTGGTCTTGGGCTGAGCCCGAAAATTCTTTTTTTATCATATTTTTTCACTAAAATAGCATTAAAATAATGTTAGGCCTTAGGCAGGCCAAGCCTTGGATGGGCTTGGATCGAGCCTCGAGTCTGGCTCATGAGCCAAGCCAAGCTAGAAAACACACAACACAGGCCTAGACCTGGGGGTTTGAGCTAGGCTCGAGCTTAAACGTGGTCGGGCCTAAACAGGCTTGGCTGTGGATGGACTTTGAACTGGCGAGCCATTTTTACACCCTTAAGTGTGTCTAGTCTCTCCTTTCAAACACTTATGTCTTACCTTCATGCCATTAAGCCACAAGGCCTTGGGCCTAATGGTGTGTTTGGTATCGGGAGGCTTTTGAAAGAAAGAAAATGAGGTGAGCGGCGAGATAAAGGGCTGGAGAGAGGGAGGAAAATGAGAGGGTGGTCAAAGGTGACTCAACCATTAGGCTACTTAGACTGTTGCTTAAGGTCTATAAAAAAATTTCAAAAAGTTACAATTGAAGGCCTCAAAATTTTCAAAAGCTTAATTAATTAAGGTCTCATTTTTATGTTTAGCTCGGAGCCTCTAAAAACTTTAAGCTACTACTGGTGGTGATGGTCAGTGATGGAGCATATTAGTAGGGGTGTGCGCAGTGCAGTTCGAGCAGTTTGAGAGTAAAATAATAAATCAAATGATAGATTAGTAGATTGGTGGATTAGCAAATTGCGGTTTGAGCAGTTTTAAGCGGATTGACAGATTGAAGAATATTTTAACCAATTATCAAGCCTTTGCATAATATATAACACTAATTTGCATAATATTTTTCATACTTATAACACAAACTAATTTTACATAATATTTTTCATACTTATAACACAAACTAATTTTACATAATATTTTTCATACTTATAACACAAACTTATTTTACATAATATTTTTCATATATATAACTTCTAATTTGTAATAAATTTCACATCTTAAACCTCTGTTTCACTTATTTTTACTTTGAAATTTCATTATAGGTTAAAAAATATGTGTATTAACTATGGCAGAGTGGGGCGGTTTCGAAGGCGGATTATAAATTTTAAAGTTGAAACCATGATTAACAGATAGAGCGGTGTAGATTGCTGCAGATTAGTGCGGTTTTAGAGGATTTGGCGGTATTTTGCATAGCTTTACATATTAGGAAGAGGTAAGGGGACAACAAGAGAGACAATGTGAAAGAGATAGGGAAAAAGAGGAGAAAGAAGCATAGAGGAGAAGAGTGTAGCAAAATAGGTCCCATATGGTGAAA